ATGTATAATTTCTAATAATATCCCTATAATATTTAATAAAAAATGTCTAAGCCTTAATATTTACATGTAAAAGGATAACAACTTGCTTTTTTTGACCCTGGACTCTTTGCTTTGTGGACAGTGACAGTTTTATTTGTTCTGTTTCAGGTCAGCTGACGATGATCGTTGGTCAGGTTGGATGTGGGAAATCCTCTTTGCTTCTTGCCATGCTAGGTGAGATGCAGGCCATCGATGGACGGGTCTACTGGAGCAAGTAAGTCAGTTTAACTTTTCAGTATATACTGTATATTTCATTTGTGTGTGTTATGTAGAATAATTATTCTTTGGTGTATTTAAAATAAGTATTAGACATGATGTTATTGTTTTCACCCTCCACCTCTAGATAGCAGGCATTTATTTCTTTATGTATCCCAACATTTATGTACATTTCCATACAAATTTGTCAAATGTTGAAGTAACAGCAGCTTAATTTTTTTTCTACACACATAATTAGCATTTGGAAAAGGCTCAGAATGATCTTCAGAAACTTGTTGTTATAGACTATATATTATAGCCTATAATGCATTTTTACATGACTAAAGTCCTTCCTGCAGAACATCTCCTCCACTAGTGTGGAGGGTAGATGACACCCGTCCTGCATTAAACAGTCCATTATTTACGTCAGTGTTTGCATGTGCTACTTCATGTAAATAAATGGCTGTAAAACATAAATAAAGACAAACAAAAAAAAAACTTGATGTACTGTAGTAAATATGCTAGTATGAGTATTCTAATTGTTTTAGTAATGATTTTATTGAGTAACACTAATGCAGTAAAATTGCCGTACATAATCTGGACAGATTTATTGTACATTGCATGGAGGGAAAATTTTTCACATAAATACAATAATTATCATGTCTGGCAACTCACTTTTCATATAGGATGTTCAGATTAGAATATTAGAAATAAATAAATAAACAAATGCTGAATCAGTGGTGGTTGACTGAGAAACGATTTCCAAAGTCGGATATTTCCAAACTTTTTTAACTTTAGAAAGTTTCTGGGAAGTTTACAGAAAATTTTCCACCCTTTCACAACCCTAGCAGTGATTTATTTTTATTTAAATATGTCTCTTAGTTTGAATTATGTGACTTCTGTTTTTGTAAATGACTGCAGAGAGTGGATTAAAGGAATAGAAAGCCTGTATTCATTCATTCATTTATTTATTTATGTTGATTTTCTTTTGTTTGTTTGTGTTAATTTGTTTTGATTTATTTGTTCATTCATTATTTATTTATTTATTTATACAGATTTGTGTGTAACATTTAATTTCGTATTTGGCAAGTAAATATTATTATTATTATTATTATTATTAATAATAAGTTATTATTGACTTAGTAACTTCAATAAAGTTCTAAAAATGGCGACCTCAACAGAAATATTGATTTCTTTCTAGTTCTGTCAATACATTTTCTTGAACTATGTAAACATTTTTATCGTGTGCAGTAAAATATTGAATCCACACGTTAGTTCGTTATATTTTGCTTCCGAGCAGCCAGACTTTCTTGCAATATTTAAAAATTGTTTTGCTCAATAGCTTTTGCAAAATTTTTCTTCCAACTTGATCTATTTTTCATGGTTCCGTTGTTGTATTTGACCATGACAGAATATTATGTCCCTTTTAAAAATAAGTCAAATGTACAAAAAATTTTAATAAAAACCGAGCAAATTGTTTTTGGGACCAGTTTAAAGTTCGGTCTTTGACAATTTGTGTTAAATGTTGACACAACTTTGGTTTATTCTTATTGTTTAGGAGCCTTTTTATGTCTGAAGGAAAAACAGCCAGAGCCCACATAAATAAATAAATAAATTAATTAATTAATTAATTAACTTTGAAGGACCTATAGAAAGCCTGATCACTTTAACAAAGTTCTGGTGCCTTGGAAATCAAAAATGGAAAAAATGAAGGCTACATCCAAACCTTTGCACACTATTGTATATTAAATATATATTTGAGTGCATTACACATTTGTCTTTTTCTAAATAATTGATCGTGACAGTTTTAGTCCTTCATATCTCTGAGCTTTCTTGCTATAATTTATCGTTTTAGTGATGCTAAATTTAGGGATATATGAAATTGGATTTTTGGACGATATCCGATATGCAATATGTTGAAACTTATTTGGCCAATAACCAATACCAATACCGATATTAATTTTTTTCCATAGACCTATTTACAGAGACTACATAACTTTCTCTGCTGTGGAATTAAAATACTACATTATTCTTATGGTCTTTGTCAGTTTGGCTGCTACCAAATGCAGATGCCAAAAAGGAGCTGAAAATGATGCAACACTTTAGCTTGGATTATGTTTAATGTAAAATTTATTCATGACATTTACTCTCTAACACAATGACAACACTTGAACAGTGCAAATTTGTAAATGTTCACAAACCTAAACTCAACAACGCATGTAAGGTCATAATATATGTATAAATAAACAGCGCTTATTATATCGGTGAGTTATTTTGATGGAACGGCCAATGTCAGATATTTAACTTTTTTGCTAATATCGGCCGATACTATCGTGCATCCCTAGCTACATGGACTTTTACAGTTCATAAAGTTTAGTTCCTGTTTGTTGGCTGTGATGATATTGATTTATCATCTCGGTCTTTTCAAAATAAACGAACCAGGGCTAATTTAAAAATAAAACTTGTATACCTGCAGTTATTCTATCAGCTCTGTAAACATCTTTCCTCTGATTTTCCTCTTTGATTTTACTCTGAAGTTAATAAAGTGCTGATAAAGTGAGTGCTGTTTTTATAACTACACATTAGTTTATTGGATTTTATTACAGGCCCTAAGAGATCTTTGACACTAGAATCTAATTGATTAGGTCTTGTTTTTTTATTCTGTGTTCCACCCTGAACAAAACATCTTATCTCCTAAGAAATCAAATGTTTCTGTGGCCATTTTAGATAGTTTAAAAAATAAAACAGATCGGCGAGCTCTGCTTCAACCTGCTTCTTCACCCGAGAGTTGCACTGAGTTTTCACGCTGCAGTCAGATCGCCTCACAGTTTTCAGAGCTGCAAACTAACTTTAGTGTGAATGTCTAGGTGTGTCTCTGTGCTGTGTGTGTGTTTTACCTCCTGCCTTCATTATAATCAGGCTGCCTGATTGTGAGATGGTCCACGAGGGGAACATCAGGTACTTCTTCTCTCTCTGGTGTCGTCTTTCAGAGACATTCATCTGTTTAGGTTTCAGATGAGACTTGGGTAAACTTCTTGTGTTCAAGTTGAACTAAATGCAGTGAAACTGTTTTAGACATATGGAGTGACCTCAGTATTTTCAGCTGTAACTTCTGAAGCTTTTCTGTTGGAGAATAATATGCTCGCTTAACTTACTTAAATAAATCCTATCATTTCAGCCGAGGTCACAAAGTTGGAGGCGTCCTTGAAGCGACAACTGCACGCTGCAGCCTCACCCAGCTCCTCATCCGGCTTTCTACTCACACAAACATATGGTTCATGGGCAGAGTTAACATTCTCAGCCATAGTAGTTAAAAACATCCATAACCTTTGACCGAAAATTCTCTAACAATATCACTGATTTTTATCTAAATTTGACAGGTATATGCAAGGTTAATATCAATAACTGCACTAAAGCAAACACATAAACGCAACGCAAATTACAAAAATAGCAGAAATGTTTCCTGGACCAGACTGGATATATACTAGTTATTTAAAAAAAAAAAAACTGCTTTAAAATGTAATAGTCTTGTCATTGGAAGAGCTTTCTTTAGCTCTGGTTTGTGAAACTCTCTCGTCCACCTTAAACACCAGCTTCAACAGTTTCCCACACACTGACCAGCTGTGCGGTGTAACCAGGAAGGATTTGTGTTTTTGAGGACTGTAGGCACTGGCAGTAACTGCATCCTAAAGGTGATTATAATGGTTTACGCAATCGTTTAAATGGTTCGAGATAAGCTTTTGTGTGAAAATTATGAACAATTACATTGTTATAACTTTAAATAACAATTAATAATAATAAATTAACAATTAAATTGTTATAAATAACTTTCTGAACAACCTCAGTAAAGTTTAATTCTGACCAAGCTAACGGCTAGTCTGAGCAGAGTCCAGACTAAAGTGTCTTAAAACTACTCCAGTCTCCAAAATGTCATAGCTGTTCATGTGCACACTTTTATAAACCTTCACACCATCATGGATGTTATGTAACATGACTTAATATTAAATTATGGTTCTTTTTAGAGCAATTAGTTGTAGCTAGTTGTAGCATGTGAAGCCGTTTAATGCATTACTGCCTCTGTGAGTCCCTGGACTTGCTCACCGCCCTTGTGCCCCACCCACCCCCCACCCCGTGCGGAATGTCGGCATCATTATGTGCTTGTGTGCAAGTTTTTTTTTTCATTTTCTGGCTATTAATTTTCAGCCAAAGATTAAGAGCATGTTGGGATTTTTTTTTTTTTTTTTGCCTTCAAAACCTTTATTGTCACTTTCACCACTTTTTATTGTCCATCTAAACAGGTCTCACTTGTAAACGAGTCTTCGAGGCTCAGTGTGACTTATCTGTATAAATTAAGGTTGAATGAAAAATTAGGTCAGCTGACAGCAGTGGAAACGTGTTTAAAATATGAAATTTGGGATGTGAGTTTTTGGCTTGGGCAAACACTATTTTAATTCAATTCAGTTTATTTATTTAGCGCCAAGTAACAACAGAAGTCATCTCAGGTCACTGAACAGAAACATTCATATATAAAAATAATAATTTAACATTATTTATCCGAGGAGCAGACTGCTTTGAATTTAACTCCATCGCAGAACTCTCATCTTGAGCAAGCATGAAGGCGACAGTGGGAAGGAAAAACTCCCTCATGAGGAAGAAACCTTTAGCAGAACCAGGCTCAGGACAAGCGGCCATCTGCTAGTGTCAAGTTTAGGGATGGGGATTTTAGATAAAACACGTCAAATTTATCTAGTGATTATTTTATTTTTCCTCTAATACTTTGCTAAAAGCACCATTAGGAAACAGCTTGGTGTGTGTCCCACTCAGATTAGCCATAAACTCATTAATTTGCTCAGAATTTAACTATTTTTCTCCTAAAGGAGGTTGTTCAAAAATCTATTTTCTGCAAGGTATTGTTCATAATCTATCCACAGAACCTCACTTAAAACATCTAAACTAGCCTATTGTTTAAAGGAGGGGAAAAAATTGGCAGCCAGAAGATTTTTTTAATAACTTTTTTTTAATGTTGCTGAGTGAATGTTTTCACCCTCACACTTAAAATGAATCCCCGTTAGGATCAGATGTCGGAAAAAACAAAACATAATCAGCTGAAAAAACTGAGCCCATACATCCTACATACAACTTGTAATTTGAAAACATAAATGTGAAAGTTGTTTTAGTGGCTTTACATGATAAAGGTTGCTTCCTGCTCATGAAACATGGATGGGGTGAACACACTCAGAAACCAGATCTGATTCTGCGTCTGTATGTTGGGGTTGGAGCTCTGCTGGTTCAGATCAAAACGTTGATTGTGTCACTGTAGACTATTTCTAAGTAATCTTTAACTCCTCTGAGACGTGTAAAACACGATACATCATTGTCGAAGAAGCCACAAAACCTAATTATCGCAGGCAGACAATGACTGACTCACTCCCACCGTCTGTCTATCCTGGGTGGGAAGGTTAATTTGATAAACAGGCTAATATGTCGTCACCGTTTGACATGAAAACACCTTCCATTTGTTTTAGGTTTGATTTGAACATTTTTTCTGCCTCATGTCTCCTCAAAGACAAAGAAAACGCCTTGCTTTTCTTTGTTTTTTGTTCTGTATCCCTTTTCTGTTGTGCTTCAATGTCTTTTCTTATACGTTTCCACTCACGAACACAGACATACAGAGAGTTGGTGGCAGTGATTTAATTCTAATAATCATACTGACTTTGACAGTTGGTCAGACACAGAGGAGTCCGAGGAAGACGCCGGGAGGTACACCTTCTTCTTCTGGTCACCTGCTTTTTGTTTCAGATATCGAGTGACCCTTTGACCCATCATTTGCTTCCCCTTCCATGAGTTTTAACCTCATTTGTGGTTGTGATTCACTGAGGAGAATATCAGTTTTTCAGTTTAGAGATTTCTTGTTTGCTGTGTTGCTCACAAACACATTTTCAACCAAAAATGAACTTTAAACTTTATTTTCATTGGGTATTTTGGCTTCTATTACAACCAGTTGGTGTGGGATGTGCTACTCCTTCAGTAACTTGTTAAAACTGATTTAAAAAAACAAATGACCATGGTAAAAGTAAAGGTACGTAAAGAACTGCGATGTAGAAGGAGGCACACACAACAACACAAAAACATCACAAATGATCAATCCAGAGTTCTATAAAAAAAAGTGTTGGCATTTCTTGAAGGAAGACATATTTCCCTCTGGCTTTCATGGCAGAGTTTTCAACTAAGAGCTACTATTTTGGTCAAACCCTAAAAATAACTCGTGTGTGATGTCCTTTAATATCGCAGTACATTTTGTGAATGACTCTCAGCTACTACCACGTCAAATTTTAGCTCGGTATCTGTGAAACAGACTGAGTTGTAGCCTTTTTTTTTTGGTGTTGGCTAAGGTCAGTTAGTTGTGCCATTTTGAATTTTATTGACTCCATAAGTGAAAATTTTAAAAGTGTACATCCAATTATTGCTTTTTGAAAGTTCCATTCAAATTTGCCAGTGATGCAGGAGATATTTTGCTAACAGAGTTGACATCAGTAGTGAATGTCCATGCGATCAGTCAACTTGGAGTGTTGGAGCCAACTTCCAGCTACTAACACACCCAATTTAGTTCAACATGTAAAATGAACCGAGGTAAAGACAGTTTTGTGTTTGCAAAGATTGAAAAGCTGTGGCAGCCATCTTGAATTGGAATGACTTTTAAAGTTGGGTCTGTTGTAGACATGGGCACCTGGTTATGTTAAAGTGCAGGTGGTAAGTCGTACTTTCATACAGGAGATAAACGTTCCCAACCCAATTAAGGATGAGTTTCTTTTTAGTTTTTAAACTGATCATAGTTAAATAATCAAATTAAACCAACATAAACATTTACTAAACTTTAATTTTTAAGCCATATTCAGTTTGATTTTTGCCTAGGTGTCTGTTCAGGCTACCAATGCGCACATAGAGCCTAACACACCTGCAAATATAGGCTCCGCCTCCAGCCCAGGTAGAAATCATGTTATTTTATGCTACAATATTAGTGTGATATCTTAAACTTTTAATCTATTCTGTCTGAGATAAAAGGTTGTAGCACATTTCAGCACCTGAAACTACCTTTAGCTACCATTAACATATCCACAGCTAAATTTTATGTCTGACTAAACTTACTTTTACCTATCTTTGACATCTTCACAGATAAATGCTACGTTTGACTAAACTTACCTTTAGCTACCTTTAACATTTCCATAGCTAAATGCTACTG